TATGTTTCAAGCAACTGAACTATTATGGAAAGCAAACCATACCATATTAGTTTAAAGACGACGATGCGTGCTTTCTAAACTACAATAACGACCAACTGAATTAATTAACATAACTGTAGATCGATCAGTGCGCACACCACAGACAATCTTTGCCATTATACTATGGGACAATTTAGTTTTAAGAAAGTTATATAGACAATACGCATTTTATGCAGATATATATTCCCCCCTCCCTCCCCCCACCCGTTTCAATGTTGCGCCTATGCCAAAAGACGTCTCGTTTGTGATATATTATTTTTTATGACAGCAACATTGAACAGGGGGCATGGGGGAAACTGAACAGTAGCGGTGTTAAGACGTTTCACTATTTGTCCCATAGTTTCTGGCAAAGATTGTAGCAATCACCCTATAATTCTTGGGTGTCTATATTCCACTATAAACAAACGTAATCATTGTCTATCCTATATATAGTCAGTTATATCGTAATAAAGTAAAGCTAACAAATTGTCAATAAATTAAAAAGACAGTTACGCTGAAATATGTTTACAGTATATGTTTAGTGTTTGAGGATTGCGTCGTTGTCTAATTCCGTTTCGTACAGTTCGTTTGATATTAATAAAAAGCTTATAATACAAATCTCTTCTTTTCTGGACGCATGAATGGTACACTATACCTTTGTGAGCATTGACTGTGTGATACATAACACATGTAGCTGCGTGGCAGATAATCACCAGCACTATATAGACATTATCCTTTTGTATATAATTATATGTTTTATAGATGTAGTTTTTGAATTCATCGAGAAGTATGTTTTGTTTACATGCACCGACGATGAAAGAATCTTCGAAATTGTAAGTGCCTTATTTATATATGAGAAAATTCCAAGATTCTAATATTCCAAGTTTCCTGGATTTCAAGATTCCTCGATTTCAAGATTCCCCAATTCCAGATTCCAAATAAATCACATCTCCATTATTTCAATGTAAATATCTTCATATGTATCTTCAGCTTTGTTCACCTTTTTTCGTATTTCTGTGGTGTTTGAGTCTCTAATGATGCGTCTGTTGCCGGTAGTACAAATTTACTCGATGAAAACCGGATGAAAACAATGAGATGTTTGTGTCCTACGAGTCTGGCAACACCGGAAATCGATTCTAAAGGTCAAATTTGATTTGACTTGCATCCGGCTACGGATGCTTCTTATTGGCCAAGTATAGCGTGTGGCACGCAAGTACGAGGAAAACCCGCTATTTTGAAAAATTGAAAACAAATATTTATACTCGGCGTCGTATTCAAACAAAACTTTCCACATGACAGCGCTTGAATGCAAGGAATATTTTATTCGATTAACTTGGGGCGATTTTGGAAGAGTTTGGAAGACATGTTTTTTCTCTAAATGAGATCTAAAATTTTTGGCCAAGGGTGAGGAAATTTATGATTGTTTGGTTTGTTTACGGCATTCAAACCTCCCGTTGAAAAGTTTATTTTCGGAGTGAGGATTTGAATAGTATTTTTCGTTTTAAAGTGGAGTAAATTTACTCGCTGTGATATTTACTTTAGAAACAAATGAATCGTAAATATCAAATTGGGGAATTTTAGCTGCTTTGAATCGAATTCTGCTCTCCTTGATCAAGTTATAAGTGATTAATTAATAATCGATTTCATGCGCGCGTTCTGTATGTTTGCATGATAATTGCCGGATTGTGCATTAAATTTACTGGTTCGTAAAGGGGGTTGTAAAATATAATATTTTCGGCTTTATTACGTACAAAGGCAAAGTCATCAACTATTATCAAGTTAGTGGCATATCGGATATGCAGCGATTGGGAAAGGCGGTTACCAAGAATTAGGGAAGCCAGGAATTTACGAGGAATCCGGATTCCCCGTTTTTCAGAATTCGTTTTTCGGGGAATCCAGATTCCCCGTTTTTGGATAAAAATAATTATCGTGTTTTTAACAGGGATTCAGGGAAATGTAATTCTCGGAGATTTCCGAATTACGCTTCGGCTTATTTACGCTTATGTTATGGCAGTCGACATTTTAAATTTACCTACTTGCACATATTAGACTATATTAATCTTCAAGTTTAACGTGGCTATTTTACCGACTATATATGTAGTCGATATAGTAACATATGATGTACGTATATATGATACTGTACCTTATATGATGGTATTTTACTTACATATCTTGTTTGGAATGTGTTTAATTAGCGAGAATATTGTTTACATTAATATATAATCCTTGTGTTATTATATTTTGAGGCTGACTACAATTTGCAATTGTATATGTCGGACTTCAAGTAGCTATCAAAAAATATGAGTCCAAAGTACTCGAACTCAAGTATGAATCTGAGGTACACAAATATCAAATTTGGCCTTTATCACATGCAAATACAAACGAACAAATGTGTTTAGAGTGTATATATAATCTTGTAGTATATATGCCTTTCTCTTCCGTACTGCTTCTAGGTTACGTACAGTGTGCAATATTATTGTTTTATTTTTTAGAAATGACCTCTACATATAATGACCTCGACGTATACAACACATTAAACTAATGATTTTTGAGACGTTCTCTGGTTGAACATTTTACGTCTCAAAAATCATTATGTCCAATCCTGGTCGCACTTCCAGCATATTTAAACATTAAACTAAACTAAATTAATTAAAGAAATTGATATACGGCCAATGTTCACATAATGCAGTTGTACTATGGTTTCTGTTACCTGATAGAGACATCTCTATATATAAAATTAATGATGCCCGTTAAAAATTCTTAAAATTCAAATTGATCACCAGTGAATTTCTTGGAAATATCAAAATGAAATGCCCACGATTTGTCTTTGAAAAACCCGACTACTTGACAACTGACAAGTATAATATAGTTAATAAGCTCATTGTTGTTTTGTTGCCTTGGCGCGCAGGTGGACCGCGTGCGGGGTCTGAGACTAAGACTTTTTGGCGCCAATAGATATAGCTTTATTAGTTAGTTTTGCATGTGCATGTATGCGAGAGGTTATCAATAAAAGTGTTCAACTACAACATTACATCTGGCGACGAGGAAACACGATCGAAACCCGCAACGATTACACAAGCATACAAGAAGTGAACCAGCCGAATTGAAGTACCCAAAACTATACTCAAAAGTATAGACAACGTATACTCAAGAGTATAGACAACGTATCGCGATCAGACAAGACAAGTAATATATATCGCAGAATTTTAGTATTTATAACTCACCTCAACCATGGCTTCGCTCCCAGATTTTCCACCGTTTAATGTACACGAGGACTCTAATGCTGGCCCAAGATGGAAAAAGTGGCTCACGAGATTCGAACGGCTACTATGCGGACTTAACATCACAGCTGATAAAAGAAAAAACAGCTTTGCTCTTGCACTACGCTGGCCCTGATGTCGATGATATCTACGATACTCTGCCGAGTACTAGCAGCAACGAAGACTACAAAACTGTAGTGGAAAAGTTCAACCAGTACTTCTCACCTCAAACTAATGTGGCTTTCGAAGTTTTTAACTTCCGCCAAGCGAAACAGAAACCCGACGAGTCCCTTGATTCTTATCATACTCGATTACGCCATCTTTCTCAAACGTGCGAATTTAGCGACCTAGCTAAAGAGATCAAAGACTATATTATTTTGACCTGTACGTCCAACTCTTTACGCCGACGAGCCCTTCGTGACAATCTCGATCTACCGAACCTGATGAAGACCGGCAGAGCCATCGAACTAAGCCAAAAACAAGCCAGCCAAGTCGAGCAACAAGAATTCTCAAGCGTCAATTCAGTTCGTCGCGGAAATATACAACAGCCAAATACGGAAGCCACAGCCCCACAAGATCGCGTTTTGAGAACTAACGATTAAGTAATTTCAGAGGCGCTGAGCAATCTCGTGCCAGAGAAACCTGTGGAAACTGCGGTGGGACATACCCACATACCAGAGTTTGCCCAGCAAGAGGCAAGGACTGCAAATCTTGTGGGAAAATCGGACATTTTGCCCGGGTTTGCCGCACCAAACCCCCATCATCACAGCATGTAAACAATGTCACCCATACCCGCCACCAGTCTCCACCCGATTCCGACTCCGAACCAGACTATGCTTTCACAATCGCAAATCTCTCTGGAACACCCACATCACCAAAGTGCCACGTAAACATTGCAGGGCACAGCGTATCCGTCATGATAGACTCTGGCGCTTCTGTCAATATCCTCGATGACGCCACCTTTAACAAAATTACCCGCAACAAAGGAATCAGTCTTGAACAAACAAACCACAAAATTTATTCCTATGGATCACTACGTCCACTACCTCTAAAAGGAGTTATCAAAACCAACATTTCCACTGACTCTAAGCACCTTTCTTCCCAATTCCATGTAGTTCACGGGAACTCTGGAAATCTGCTAAGCTACACCACCGCCTGCCAGCTCAATTTGCTCAAAGTTACGATCAACAGCACTACCCATCACATACCATCAACTAATCAGTGTCCCCCAGAGTTCGAATGCTTCTTCTCTGGCATTGGAAAGCTAACTGGTAAAACTGTTAAACTGCACATTGATCCTGATGTTTCCCCCGAACAACAACCCCACCGTCGAATCCCATTCCACGTTCGATCAGATGTCGAAAAAGAGCTCAAATGGTTTGAAGAGTTAGATATCATCGAAAAGGTTGATGAACCAACACCATGGATCAGTCCCATTGTGGTCGTCCCGAAAAAGTCGGGCGAAGTCCGAATATGTATTGATATGCGTGAGGCCAACCAGGCGGTCAAACGAGAAAAACATTTGATACCCACAATCGATGACCTGGTAGCTGATTTAAATGGTGCAGCCGTGTTTACAACTTTGGATCTATCCTCTGGCTACCATCAACTTGAACTTGCAGAAGAAAGCCGGCACATCACCACTTTCAGCACACACCTTGGCCTTCGACGGTACAAACGACTTCTGTTCGGCATCAATGCCGCCTCTGAGATCTTCAAAAACACCATCGAAGAGCTGCTGACTGGCCTACCAGGTTGTAAGAACATATCCGATGATATAATCGTTTTTGGCAAAGATCAAGCCACTCATGATGCCAACCTCCGTCAAGTCCTTGAAAGGCTAAAGTCCCACAACCTTCGCTTAAACAAGGAGAAGTGCCACTTTTCTAGATCGGAAGTAATATTCTATGGTCACATTTTCAGCACGGAAGGACTACGCCCCGACCACAAGAAGGTTGAAGCTATCCAGAATGCCACACCTCCGCGTAGTTCAAGTGAAGTCAAATCTCTCCTCGGAATGGCCCAGTATCTGTCACGCTACATACCCGGTTATGCTGATATCACAGCTCTTTTGCGTGGCCTGACAAAAGACTACGCAACATGGAAATGGGAAGAAATCGAGCAAGCAGCCCTTGACAAACTCAAGAAAGCTTTCACTGACAACCAAGTCATGTCATACTTCGATCCTCACCAAGCCACAAAAGTGATTGTTGATGCAAGCCCTGTTGGTCTTGGTGCACTGCTAGTCCAAAACGACAAAGTTATCTGCTGTCTGATGTCGAAACTAGATACTCTAAGACTGAGAAAGAACTGCTCGCAGTAGTTTGGGCCGTTGAGCACTTCCACCTTTACCTATATGGTGCTCAATTTACCATCATAACCGATCATCAGCCCCTCATTGGTATCTTTCGCAGTCATAAAGTCACCTCCGCACGAATTGATCGCTGGAAGCTCCGTCTAATGCCTTACAACTATTATCTTGTGTACAAACCTGGTAAAGATGAGAAAAACACAGCTGACTTCCTTAGCCGACACCCAAACTGCTCAGAGCCCCAACCGGAAAGCGTTGCTGAAGAATACGTTAACTATGTATGTGCCAATGCCGTGCCCACCGCCATGACCCTTCAGGAAATCCAGCTTGAAACATCAGTTGATGACACAATGCAAATGGTCATTCAAGCCATCGAAACCAACAATTGGTCGGATCCGTCCACGACAGAATACAAGAAAGTGAGTGACGAACTGTCAGTGCATAAAGGAATTATACTTCGTGGACACCGAATCGTAATGCCCACCTCCTTAAGACGCCGGACAATCCATCTCGCACACATTGGTCATCAAGGAATCATTAAAACCAAACGTCTACTACGCTCGAAAGTCTGGTTTCCTAATATTGACAAGATGGTCGAAGAAACCATTCAGAATTGCCTCCCCTGCCAGGTTGCTACTTCGGGCAACCACCCTCCACCTGAGCCACTCAAGATGACCCAGCTGCCATCCGAACCTTGGAAAGAAGTTGCAATGGATTTCCTGGGCCCTTTTCCAACTGGTGAATACTTCCTAGTCGTAATCGATGCGTTTAGTCGGTTCCCCGAAGTTGAAGTACTCACCACGGTTTTCGCAAAAGCTGTCCTTCCAAAGTTGAATGCAATATTTTCACGACAAGGCCTTCCAGAAGTTCTGAAAAGCGACAATGGCCCGCCATTTAACGCTCCCGAGTTCGAGTCATACGCCAAACACTGCGGTTTTACTCACCGCAACATCACGCCATACTGGCCTCAAGCAAATGGAGAGGCCGAGCGTTTTATGCGCACACTACAGAAATGTATTCGGGCTGCAATTATCGAGAAGAAAAACTGGAAGCAAGCGATGAACCAGTTTCTCCTCAACTACAGGGCAACCCCCCATTCTACTACTAACATATCCCCCTCCGAAAGCCTCAACAACAGGAAGATAAAGACAATGTTACCGGAGATGCCCTCTACTTCAAAACCAGAACAGAAAGCAATGGCTGAATATGATGTCGGAAGAAAGAACAAATGAAATCTTGCGCAGACAACCGTCGGGGTGCCAAATAAAGTTGCATCAAACCAGGTGACACCGTCCTTTTGAAACAGCCGAAGGAAAACAAATTCAGTGTTCCATACAACCCTCAACCATTTGTCGTAGAAAAGAAAAAGGGAACAATGGTTACTGCCAAGAACGTTTCAAAGGTTGTCACACGAATCTCCTCGCAATTCAAGGTGATTTCAACCAAGTCAGCCAAACACGATGACAAGGAAGTTGAACCAAAGGTTCCAAGACCATCAAACCCCCAAGAACAAAAAACACTTCAACAAAGACCGAAACGGAACGTAAGACAACCAGCAAGGTTCGCGGACTATGTAAACTATGAACCAATGTGAGCGAAATGACAGTTCGGACAATATCACTGTCCACAGCATATTAGTCAAAGGAACAGTGACTCGGCACGTTAATGTTTATATTAATAGATGGAACTATCATCTGACAAAGGGAGGGATATAATATAGTTAATAAGCTCATTGTTGTTTTGTTGCCTTGGCGCGCAGGTGGACCGCGTACGGGGTCTGAGACTAAGACTTTTTGGCTCCAATAGATATAGTTTTATTAGTTAGTTTTGCATGTGCATGTATACGAGAGGTTATCAATAAAAGTGTTCAACTACAACATTGCAGTACCTCATTCCTGGACAGTGGAATGTATGAGTATGTTCAAAATCGCAGCAAATGTGTGAACGTTTGTGGAAGGTAGTACGGAGAACTGGAAAACGGAGTTAACATCTTCGGGAGAAAGCCTAGGAAATGTGAATATAAGACGAGGTATTTTTCAAGGAGATAGTTTATCTCCTTTGATATTTATGATGTGCATGATACCATTAAGCTTGATGCTGAGAAAGGAAAAGGTAGGGTATGAATTTCGCGGGAAAGAACTCAAAATCAACCATCTTCTATTCATGGATGATCTGAAGTTGTTTGGAAAGAACAAGGAGCAAATAGACTCACTGGTGAAAACTGTCCATATTGTTAGCAAAGACATTGGAATGGAATTTGGGATAAAGAAATGTAGAATGCTTGTAATGAAAAGAGGAAAGATTGTGGAATGTAATGGAATACAGCTACTTGATGAGAAAACAATAAAGTCCGTAGAAGAAGATGGATATAAATATCTTGGTATACTGGAATTAGATAAAATTATGGAGGGTGAAATGAAATGAAGAAAAAGTTTGTAAAGGAATACGGGAGGAGATTAAGACTGGTGCTGAAATCAAAACTGAATGGCAGAAACAAAATCATGGCGATGAACACTTGGACTGTTGCGCTACTGAGGTATGGAGCTGCTGTTTTGAAATGGACAAAAGATGAAATTGCTGCAATGGATCACAAAACACGTAAACTGATGACACTGTATGGTGCTCTTCATCCAAGAAGCGACATTCATCGATTATATTTACCGAGAGAAAAGGGCGGAAGAGGTTTGATCAGTTATGAAGGATGCATTCGTACAGAGGAGAACAGTTTGGGATGGTATGTAAAGAACAGTGTGGAACCACTTTTACAACAAGTTGCAAAGACAGGTGTGATTGAAACGGAAAGATGCGAAACAAAAGAAAATTTTAAGAAGAAAGCAGTAGAGGAGCTAGAGAAAGCCTGGATTGACAAGAAAATGTATGAACAATATAACAGAGATTTAGATAAAGAAGTGGATAGGGAGAAGACATGGTGGTGGCTGAAGAAAGGAGACTTGAAACCTGAAACTGAAGCACTTCTGTGTGCTGCACAAGAACAAGCTCTAAGGACAAATTATGTAAAGTTTCACATAGATAGAACTGTTGAGTCTCCACTCTGTAGACTTTGTGGGGAAAAGGGAGAGCATATAACACACTTGATAAGTGAATGCAAGAAGCTAGCACAAAAAGAATACAAACGAAGACATGACAATGTGGCTCGCATTGTACACTGGAAGCTATGTGGTTTGTACTAACTAGAGAAAGCTGAAAAAGGTATGAACACCAACCAAACGGAGTAATTGAATCAGATAATGTAAAGATTCTCTGGGATTTTAACATACAGTGCGATCATGTGATTGAATGTCGAAGACCTGATATTGTAGTGGTTTTAAAGAAGGAAA